AAAAAAAAAAAAAAAAAAATACAAAAAATTAGCTGGGCATGGTGGCTCGTGCCTGTAATCCAGGCTACTCAGGAGGCTGAGGCAGGAGAATTGCCTGAATCCAGGAGGCGGAGGTTGCGGTGAGGCGAGATCGCGCCATTGCACTCCAGCCTGGGTAACGAGCGAAACTCCGCCGCAAAAAAAAAAAAAAAAAAAGAAATCAAAACAAAACAAAGGCCCATGGATGGAACAACAAGGAGATAAATTCAGCTCCATCTGGGCGCGGTGGCTCACGCCTGTAATCCCAGCACTTTGAGAGGCTGAGGCAGGCAGATCACTTGAGGTCAGGAGTTCGAGACCAGCCTGGCCAACATGGTGAAACCCTGTCTTTACTAAAAATAAAAAATTAGCCAGATGTGGTGGCACATGCCTGTAGTCCCAGCTACTTGAGAGGCTGAGGCAGGAAAATTGCTTGAACCCAGGAGGCGGAGGTTGCAGTGAGGCAAGATCACACCACTGCACTCCAGCCTAGGCAACAGTGAGACTCCATCTCAAAAAAAAAAAAAAATCAGCTCCAAAGAAGGACGCCTTTGCCCATAGTTGGAGCTCTCCAGCACAGGGTAGGCACCTTAGAGGCAGTGAGCTACCCATCTTTGGAAGTGTTCAGCGGTAGAGGTGTTCCGTGGGTAAGAGTGGCCTAGACGGTTCCTGGGACCTCCCCAGCCCAGTAGGGCTCTCTGACCTTGCCTTCCTCCTCCTCCTAGCTATTTCTTATTGCTCACATCTCCTGAGCCCCAGGACCCTGGAGGGGAGGAAGAGGCAGAGAGTGCAGCCCGGCAGCCTCTCATAGGAACTGAGGCCCCAGAGTCGAAGCCAGGTAGGAGACACAGACCCTCTGAGAAGTCACTTTCTTTCTCTCTGGGTCACTTTCTTCTCTCTACAATGGACACAGTTAAGTGGGGAAAGAGAGTGGGCATACTGTTATGGGAAAAGCTTTCATCTATTTCAGAAATACTTGTTGAGGCCGAGCACAGTGGCTCACGCCAGTAATATCCCAGCACTTTGGGAGGCTGAGGCAGGAGGATCGCTGGAGCTCAGGAGTTTGAGTCCAGCCTGGGCGACAGAGCAAGACCCTGTCTATCAAAAAAAAAGAAAGAGAGAGAAGAAGGAAGAAAGGAGGGAGGGAAGGAAGGAAGGAGAGAGGGAGGCAGGGAAGGACAGAGGGAGGCAGGGAAGGAAGGAGAGCTCCAATTATGGACAAAGTCTTCCTCCTTTGGAGCTGAATTTTTTTTTTTTTTAAGATGGGGTTTCATAATGATGGCCAGGCTGGTCTTGAACTCCTGACCTCAGATGATCCACCCACCTTAGCCTCCCAAAGTGCTAGGATTACAGGCATAAGCCACCGAGCCCGGCCTTTTATTTTTTTTTTTGAGACAGAGTCTCACTCTGTCGCCTAGGCTGGAGTGCAGTGGCGCGATCATGGCTCACTGCAAGATCCTTCTTACCCTGTGCCAGGCATTCCAGTCACAAGTGCTGAGGCCCTGCGGTGGGGATGAGCTGGGATGTTCTAGAACCAGAGAAGGGCCCGTGAGACTGGGCAGGGTGGGCCGATGGCCAGCTGTGGAGCTGTACAACAGACGTTGGCTGGGTGCAGTGGCTCACACCTGTAATTACAGCACTTTAGGAGGCCAAGGCAAGTGGATCACCTGAGTTTGGGAGTTCAAGACCATCGTGGCCAACATGGAGAAACCCCATCTCTACTAAAAATACAAAAATTAGCCAGGTATGGTGGTGCGTGCCTGTAATCCCAGCTACTAAGGAAGCTGAGGCACAAGAATCGCTTGAACTCAGGAGGCGGAGGTTGCAGTGAGTGAAGATCGAGCTACTGTACTCCAGCCTGAATGACAGAGTAAGACTCCATCTTAAAAAAAAAGAGAGAGATGTGAAGAAGTCTCACCTTGTTAGCTCTTTTTTTTCATCGTGGTAAACTATGTACATTACTCAGTGTTTACCATTTTATATTTTATTTTATTTTTATCTTATTTTATTTTTTTGAGACAGAGTTTCCCTCTTGTTGCCCTGGCTAGGGTGCAAGGGCACAATATCGGCTCACTGCAACCTCCGCCTCCAGGGTTCGAGTGATTCTCCTGCCTCAGCCTCCCGAGTAGCTGGGCTTACAGGCATGTGCCACCATGCCTGGCTAATTTTGTATTTTTAGTAGAAATGGGGTTTCTCCATGTTGGTCAGGCTGGTCTCAAACTCTCAACTTCAGGTGATCCGCCTGCTTCGGCCTCCCAAAGCGCTGGGATTACAGGCGTGAGCCACTGCACTCAGTGATTTTAACCATTTTTAAGTGTCCAATCCAGTGGAATGTAATTTGGTTCCCACTACTGCGTGATCTGGTTAATTCTGGCACATCGGCGCCTCTGCCAAGTCTTAGTGTGAAAACTTTATCTGCCCTTCTCTCTCTGTTCCCCTGCAGGCTCCGGCTCCAGCCTCTCCTTTCAGGAAAGATGGACAGTGTTCAAGGTTCGGATGAAGGCTGGGTTGTGTCCCCATGGGGGTTGTCCACCTCCGGGCCCCTCGCTTAGATGTTCCGCCTCTTCCAGGGTCTACTGTGGTACATTGTCCCCTTGGTCATGGTTTACTTTGCTGAGTATTTCATCAACCAGGGACTTGTGAGTGAAGGGTGCTGGGAGGGGTGTGGAGGTGGCGATTGGGGCTGGGACCCACACGGCCCTGTTGATCTTCCCTGTCTGGTCTTTGCTGCAGTTTGAGCTCCTCTTTTTCCGAAACACACCCCTGAGTCATGCTCAGCAGTACCGCTGGTAAGAGGAGCAAGATACAGTGGGTTGGGAAGGTGCCGTGGTGATGGGGCTGCCCTGCCCAGTAGGCACCCAGGAGAGCAGGTTGTTGCCTGGAGGAGCCTCCTCCCACCCCCTGCCCCCACCTTAGGTACCAGATGCTGTACCAGGCTGGCGTCTTTGCCTCCCGCTCTTCTCTCCGCTGCTGTCGAATCCGTTTCACCTGGGCCCTGGCCCTGCTGCAGGTACCAAGCCCCTGCCCCTCACTCCACTCCCACCTTGGCTCCCAGCTTCCCCAAACCCCCTTGTTTCCCACTATCACTGGGAAGTGTAAATTTTTTTTTTTTTTTTTGAGACAGAGTCTCGCTCTGTCTTCCAGGCTGGAGGGCAATGGTGCAGTCTCGGCTCACTGCAACCTCTGCCTCCCAGTTTCAAGTGATTCTCCTGCCTCAGTCTCTTGAGTAGCTGGGATTACAGGCACCCGCCACCATGCCTGGCTAATTTTTATATTTTTAGTAGAGATGGGGTTTCACCATATTGGCTGATTTCGAATACCTGACCTCAGGTGATCTGCCCACCTTGGCCTCCCAAACTGCCGGGATTACAGGGAAGTATAAATTGTACACTATCATTTCTAAGCACAGGCAGCTGAAGGCCAGGAGGGCTCCATGTAAAGTGTATAGCCTCAGGAGCCAAGCAAAGCTGGTGCAAAACCAGACTTCAGTACTCAGCCACTGTGTGACTTTGGGCAGGTCTCAGAACCTGAGTCTGTTTCCTCATGTATAAATCGGGTGTGGCCAATACCTATTTTTCAGGGTAGTTGTAAGAAATAGAGATGAGGGAAAGAATGGAAGAACAAGATTTTGTGTGTTGGGGTGTGTGTGTGTGTGTGTGTGTGTGTGTGTGTGTTGTTGTTGTTGTTGTTGTTTGTTTGTTTGTGCTTTTAGTGGAGACAGGGTTTCTCCATGTTGGTCAGGCTGGTCTCGAACTCCCGACCTCAGGTGATCCCCCCACCTTGGCCTCCCAAGGTGCTGGGATTATAGATGTGTGAGCCATAGTGCCCAGCTGTGGTTTTTTTTTTTTTTTTTTTTTTTTTTTTTAGAGTTAGACTTAGGCCGGGCCAGGTGGCTCATGCCTGTAATCCCAGCACTTTGTGAGGCTGAGGCAGGTGGATCATCTGAGCCTGGAAGTTAAAATCCATCCTGGGCAACATGGCAAAATCACATCTCTACAAAAGTTAGCTAGGTGTGATGGTGCACACCTGTAGTCCTAGCTACCTGGAAGCTGAGGTGGGAGGATCACTTGAGCCCAGGAGGTCAAGGCTGCAGTGAACTGTTACGCCACTGCAGTCCAGCCTAGGCAACAGAGCGAGACCCTGTCTCCCAAAAAAGGAAAAAAGAAAGAAGGAAAAAGTCAGGACCTTGCTCTGTCTCCCAGGCTGCAGTACAGTGGCATGATCATAGGACACTTAACCTCATGCAAAGAGACATTATTTCATGCAAACATTATTTCAAATAATGTTTCTAACTAATAAAATGTACAGTTCTTTTATTCCACATGGTTAATTATAATAGAATCAGTGACTTTGTAGTCAATGGGTTATTTATCCTAAGTGTGCTGAGCAAATTCAACTGCCCTTGGCAAACAGTAGTTTACAGCTTTACGGGCACAAACACCCTTCCTTACAACAGTCTACTAAAAGGAGTTTCATATAACCAGCATCCATTGTTTTAAGGTTACAAATCCACAGCCCCTGAAGGTGACGTTACAATAAACTTTCAACTGTGACAGCAAAGTCCTCTGCCCTTAAAATTTAGGAACTCAGCCTGCCTCAGCCTCCTAAGTAGCTGGGATTATAGGCACACACCACCATGCCCAGCTAATTTTTGTGTTTTTTAGTAGAGACGGGGTTTCGCCATGTTGGCCAGGCTGATCTTGAACTCCTGAGCTCAGGTGATCCACCTGCCTCAGCCTCCCAAAGTGCTGGGATTACAGCCATGAACCAGCACTCACAGCTGCTATACTGGGTTTTTATAATTTATAAATGGTTTTAGCTGGCCAGGAGTTACGGCTCATGCCTGTAATCTAGCCAACAGAGCAAGATTCCGTCTAAAAAAAAAATGGTTTTAGCTATAATTTTAACCAAGCCTGTTTCATAGTTAGGGCTTATATCATTTATTTTCATTACAGAAAGCACCTAGAAGATGAAAGTGTTGGGAGTGTTTCACTGGTTCCATTAGTATCACTGGGGTGTGTTCTTTTTTTTTTTTTTTTTTTTTTTTTCGAGATGGAGCGTCGCTCTGTTGCCCAGGCTGGAGTACAGTGGCGTGATCTCAGCTCACTGCAACCTCCGCCTCCCAGGTTCAAGAGATTCTTTTGCCTCAGCCTCCCTAGTAGTTGGGATTATGGGTGTGCGCCATCATGCCTGGCTAATTTTTGTATTTTTTAGTAGAGATGGGGTTTCACCGTGTTGACCAGGCTGGTCTCGAACTCCTGACCTCAAGTGATCCACCTGCTTCAGCCTCCCAAACTGCTGGGATTACAGACATGAGGCACCACACCCAGCCAGGAGTGTGTCCTTTTTAATGCTCATCTTTAAGTCCACCTCAGACTTAATGAATTAGGACCCCTAGGGGGAGACCTGCTTGGGGCATTTATACCTAGATCCCCACATGATTCTTATGTATACGGAGAGTATGAACCTCCAAGAGGCAGCCTACACACTGCACAAGAGGCAGTGTGGTATCGTCAGGGCTGGGAGAGTGGCACCTCCCTGAGATACTGGGGCACAGAGGCGGGACCTACACCCTGGGTCAAGAAGGCTTCCTGGCTGGATTTGGTGGTTCCTGCCTATAATCCCAGCGCTTTGGGAGGCCAAGGCAGCAGGGCGGCGACTGCTTGAGGCCAGGAGTTCGAGCCCAACTGAGTAGGATGCCCAGCTATTCCCACATTGTTTTACCAGCAGTGTTTCAAATTGGGGCACTTTTGCTGCCCAGGGGACATTTGGCAACGTCTACAGGCATTCTTTGGTTGCCACAACCGAGGGATGCTATTGGCATCTAACGGGCAAAGGCCAGGAATGCTGCTAAATGCACTACCATACATAGAACAACCCCCACCACGCAGAACGACCCACATCAAATGCCAAGAGTGCTGCCATCGGGAAATCCTGGTTTCAATGGTCCTACTTCCTTTAGAAAGCCTCCTTTTTTTTTTGAGACAGGATCTTGCTCTGTCTCCTAGGCTGGAGTGCAGTGGCACAATCATAGCTTACTGCAGCCTCCACCTCCTGGATTTAAGCAATCCTCCTATCTCAGACTCCCAAGTAGCTGGGACTACAGGTATGTGCCACCACTCTGCTAAGTTTTAAATTTTTGGTAGAGACGGAGTCTTGTTATGTTGGCCAGGCTGGTCTCGAATTCCTGGCCTCAAGTGATCATCCCACCTCAGTCACCCAAAGTGCTGGGATTACAGGCATCAGCCACCACACCAACCTGAGGTTGGGATTTTTTTTTTTTTTTTTTTTTTGTGACGGAGTCTCTCTCTGTTGCCCAGGCTGGAGTACAATTGGCATGATCTTGGCTCACTGCAGTCTCTGCCTCCCAGGTTCAAGTGATTCTCCTGTCTCAGCCTCCTGAGTAGCTGGGACTATAGGCACATGCTACCACACCCAGCTAATTTTTGTATTTTTAGTTAGAGATGGGATTTTACCATATTTAGCAGAGGCCAGGCCAGACTAATCTCAAAATCCTGACCTCAGGTGATCTGCCTGCCTTGGCCTCCCAAAGTGCTGGGATTACACCCACTTCGTTGGGCTGGTGTTGGGATTTTATCCATGCCTGGCAGCCCTCCCCTTCACCAGTATCTCCTAGAACCAGGGGCCCCTGGAGGGGAGGCCCCCCTACCTCCCTGGCCCTCCCTGGTCCCAGGTTCAACCTCTCCCTCTGCCCACAGTGCCTCAACCTGGTGTTCCTGCTGGCGGACGTGTGGTTCGGCTTCCTGCCAAGCATCTACTTCGTCTTCCTGATCGTTCTGTATGAGGGGCTTCTGGGAGGCGCAGCCTACGTGAACACCTTCCACAACATCGCCCTGGAGGTCAGCACTGGCCAGGCGAGGGCTGTGGGTGGCCTGTCCAGGGCAGGGATGTCTGGGACTGAAGCCTCACCTCTGCTCTCTGCCCTCCCAGACCAGTGATGAGCACCGGGAGTTTGCCATGGCAGCCACCTGCATCTCTGACACGCTGGGGATCTCCCTGTCAGGCCTCCTGGCTTTGCCTCTACATGACTTCCTGTGCCAGCTCTCCTGATACTCGGGCTCTTTGGGCTCCTCTACCCATAGGGACCTCTCTCTGCCAGGTTAAACCACGCCAGAGCCCCTCCACGAACTGTGCTCCCAGCCTTCCCAGCAGGGCCGGGAGTAGGGAAGGGCTGAGCCTTGTTCCCCTGGCAGGGGGGCCAGTCATGGTCTCCCACTTGGGGAGTTTCTTTCTTGTATCGTGCCCTCTGAATAAATGTTGATTTTATCCGTGGACTTCTTGTGCTGTTTTTGTCTCTAAAAAGAAAATACTTTTATTATGAAAGTAATACATACCCCCTTTCCTTTATGTAGAAAGCATAGAAAAGGTGTGTCAGCAGATTTCTGCCATCATTTTTTTTTTTTGAGAGGTAGTCTCCTCTCTCGGTCTCCCACGCTGGAGTGCAGTGGCACCATCTCCGGTTCACTGCAACCTTTGGCCTCCTGCCTCAGCCTCCTGAGTAGCTGTGATTACAAGCACAAACCACCACACCCAGCTAATTTTTCTGTTTTTAATAGAGATGGGGTTTCACCATATTGGCCAGGCTGGTCTCAAGCTCCTGACTCAGGTGATCACCCGCCTTGGCCTCCCAAAGTGCTGGGATTATAGGTGGGAGCCACCCTGCCCAGCCTCTGCCATCTTTGAGGCCTTATGTATTCATTCATTCATATATTCATTGTATGGGACAATCTGTAAATAATCGTGTTGGACATTCTAACATGAAAGCTTTCAAACAGAAGTGGAAAGAATTGTGCAGTGAGTTGTCCTGAGCATGCACCCCTAGGGTCTATGTGAACATTGTGCTTCATTATGTAGCCCAGCCCCCATCAAATCTATCTACTCATCCTGACATCACACCCTACTGAGGCATTTTATTTATTTTTAGAGACAGGGTTGCACTCTTGTCACCCATGCTGAAGTGCAGTGGCACAGTCACAGCTCACTGTAGCCTTGACCTCCTAGGTTCCAACAGTCCTCCAACCTTGGCCTCTCAAGTACCTGGGACTACAGGTGCATGCTGCCAAGCCCACCCTTTTTTTTTTTTTTTTTTTTACTTTTGAGACAGAGTCTTGCTCTGTCGCCAGGCGCCAGGCTGGAGTGCAGTGGCACGATCTCAGCTCACTGCAACCTTCACCTCCTGGGTTCAAGCAATTCGCCTGCCTCAGCCTCCCAAGTAGCTGGGACTATGGGCACATGCCACCACGCCCAGCTGATTTTTCTGTATTTTTAGTAGAGATGGGGGTTTCACCATGTTGGCCTGGATGGTCTCGATCTCTTGACCTCGTGATCCGCCTGCCTCAGCCTCCCAAAGTGCTGGGATTACAGGCATGAGCCACTACACCCGACCTTTTTTTTTTTTTTTTTAAGAGACAGAATCTCCACGTTACCCAGGCTGGTCTTGAGCTCCTGAGCTCAGGCAATCCCCCCTTGGCTTATGGCCATGAGCCATTGCTCTTGGCCTTCAGTATTTATGAGGTGCAATTTATATACACAGTAAAATATACAAATTGTTACATATTTTTACAGTAAACTAAGTCTGGGCCAGGCGCAGCGGCTCACGCATATAATCCCAGCACTTTGGGCGGCTGAGGTGGGTGGATCACCAGAGGTCAGGAGTTCAAGATCAGCCTGACCAACATGAAACCCCATCTCTACTAAAAATACAAAATCAGCTGGGCCTGGTGACATGCACGCATAATCCCAGCTACACAGGAGGCTGAGGCAGGAGAATCACTTGAACCTGGGAGGCGGAGGTTGCGGTGAGCCGAGATCGTGACATTGCATTCCAGACTGGGCAACAAAAGCAGAACTCTGTCTCAAAAAACATATAAAATTAGCCAGGTGCAGTGGCATGCGCCTGTAGTCCCAGCTACTTGGGAGGCTGAGGCACAAGAATTGCTTGCACCCAGGTGGCGGAGGTTGTGGTGAGCTGCAATTGAGCTACTGCACTCCAGCCTGGTGACACAGCAAGACAGAGTCTGGCTTCGTGTTTCTCATACTTCACTGTTACCCTCTCTACCGTATTTGCCATATCTGAACCTAACAGTACTTTTATTTACTTAATATTTTTCATCAAATAAATTCAGTTATTTTAAAGGGAACCATTATTATTAAAATCATGAGTTTGAGGTGTTGTGTATGTATTTTCTGCTATATATTAAATAGTTAAGGTAACTATTGGAATTTAAAATGAACATACATACAAGTTCCCCCTGAGACTACTCCATCATGACCAGTGATGTTTGTGGACCCAGATCTAGGAAATTCCGATGCACCGGTTAACAGCATGGGCTTTGGGGACAGAAGGAACTGACTTTCAGGTGCCAACCCTGCCATCCACTCGCTCAATGACCTTGGGCAAGTCACTTCACCTCTCTGCACCTCAGTTTCCCAATCTGTCCAATGGGATAATAATAGCACCACCAATTCATAAGGTGCTTTTGGAAATGACGTGAGATCATGGGACAGCCCAGTCAACACTCAGGCAATTTCAGCTCTGATCATGCTGTGATGACTCCTGCCTCTCACCTTTACGTTTCATTATACCAATGTTCCTCAGACCTTAGTGTGCACTGGAGGGCTTGTTTTCATTTTTGTTTTATTGGAGACCAAGAGTCTTGCTCTGTCACCCAGGCTGGAGTACAGTGGCATAATCATAGCTCACTGCAACCTCAACCTCCTGGGCTCAAGGGATCCTCCTGCCTCAGCCTCCTGAGCATCTAAGACTGCAGGCACACACCACCATACCTGGCTAATTTTTTGTATTTTCGGTAGAGATGAGATTTCACCATATTGTTCAGACTGGTCTTATACGCCAGAGCTCAAGTGATCCACCCACCTTGGGCTCCCAAACTGCCAGGATTGCAAGTCTGAGCCACTGTGCCCAGCCATGCCTGGCTAATTTTTTTAAAATTTTGGGCCGGGCGTGGTGGCTCACGCCTGTAATCCCAGCACTTTGGGAGGCCGAGGCAGGTGGATCACGAGGTTAAGAGATCGAGACCATCCTGGTCAACATGGTGAAACCCCGTCTCTACTAAAAATACAAAAAATTAGCTGGGCATGGTGGCACATGCCTGTAATCCCAGCGACTCAGGAGGTTGAGGCAGGAGAATTGCCTGAACCCAGGAGGCGGAGGTTGCGGTGAGCCGAGATCGCGCCATTGCACTCCAGCCTGGGTAACAAGAGTGAAACTCTGTCTCAAAAAAAAAAATTAAATAAAAAAATTAAAAAAAAAAAGTCTAAATTTATGCAGAAGGGAGATGTCAAAGAAATAGGAGTGGCTGAAGGACAAGAATGTTGAAAGTAATGAAAATACAATTGCTAGACAGTGTCCTGGAGGGAGTAAGAGGGAATGAAGTAGAGAGAGCGCAGTTAAGTGGATGAGCTTTGGATGAGAAGAGGATCTCATCTTTGGATGAGAAGAGCTAAAATGTTGATACAAGCTTTATTTATAATATGGCCAGGTGTGGTGGCTCACACTTGTAATCCCAGAACTTTGGGAGGTTGAGGCAGGAGGATCACCTGAGGTCAGGATTTCAAGACCAGCCTGGCCTGGTCTCTGCTAAACATGGTGAAACTCCATCTCTACTAAAAATACAAAAATTAGCCAAGCGTGGTGGTGCATGCCTATAATCTCAGCTAATCAGGAGACTGAGGCATGAGGACCGCTTGAACTTGGGAGGCAGAGGTTGCAATGAGCCAACATCATGCCACTACACTCCATCATGGGGACAGAGTGAGACTTCATCAAAAAAAAAAAAATCTACAGGAGAATAAATACACTGTGGCATCGTCATTCAATTGAAGACCATTCAGGAATTTAAGAAGAATGACCGGGCCTGGTGCAGTGGCTCATGCCTGTAACCAGCACTTTTGGAGGCTGAGGGTGGGTGGATCACCTGAGGTTGGGAGTTCGAGACCAGCCTGGCCAACATGGCAAAACCCTATCTCTGCTAAAAATACAAAAATTAGCCAGGTGCAGTGGCCGGCACCTGTAATCCCAGCTACTCAGGAAGCTGAGGCAGGAGAATCACCTGAACTCAGGAGGCGGAGGTTGTGGTGAGCCAAGATTGTGCCATTGCACTCCAGCCTGGGCCACAGAGAAACTCCATCTTAAAAAAAAAAAAAAAAAAAGAGAATGACCTATCATACTGGTACACTTACCACAGATCAATCTCCTAAGTATTATGGTCAGCAAAAGAAGCTAGGCACAAAAGAGGATATGCCTTATGATTCTATTTATATGAAGCTCAAGAATCGGCAAAACTGGCCAGGCACCGTGGCTCACGCTTGTAATCCCAGTGCTTTAGGAGGCTGAGGCCCAATGACTTCTTGAGGCCAGGAGTTCAAGACCAGCCTGGGAACAGAGTGAGACCCCCCCATCTCTACAAAAAAATGAAGACCCCACAAAAAACATTAGCTGACCTCGGTGGTGCACACTGATGGTCCCTGCTATGTGGGAGGCTGAGACAGGAGGATCCCTTAAACCCAGGAATTCAAGGCTGCAGTGAGCTGGGATCTCTCAATTGCACACCAGCCTGGGCAAGAGAGTGAGATCCTGTCTCTAACAAAAAAAAAAAATAAATAAAAAACCAGGCAAAACTAATAGATGATGAGAGACACCAAACCAGTGATTGATTAGTGCCGTTGGTTCATTTAGCTATATGTATGTAGTCTTTCAATAATTACAATAATAGGCAGCGTGCAGCGGCTCATGCCTGTAATCCCAGCATCTTGGGAGGCCAAGGCAGGTGGATCACTTGAGGCTAGGGGTTTGAGACCAGCCTGGCCAACATGATGGAACCCTGTCTCTACTAAAAATACAAAAATTAGTTGGGTGTGGTGGTGTGTGCCTGTAATCTCAGCTACTCGAGTGACTGAGAGAGGAAAATTGCTTGATCCTGGGAGGCCAAGTTTGCAGTGAGTAGAAATCCTGCCGACTCTATTTCAAAACAAAAAATTTATAATAATAATAAAAACATAGTATTGAACATGTACTATGTGAAATGCACTAAGGGGTATGCTAAGACATTAATTGAGAAAATTAAACACAAAGCAAAATACAACAAAATTATGTGTGTCAGAAAGTTATATTATTTATGAATTTCACAGTCTTTTTAGATATTTATTTTAGAAAGAGGATATTGAGGCCAGGCACTTTGGCTCACGCCTGTAATTCCAACACTTTGGGAGGCCAAGACAGGAGGATCACTTAAGCCCAAGAGTTTGAGACCAG